TAAAAAATAATTCCAAAACGACATCATTTTGGAACTTGGGCCATTCGAGCCTCAATATTTTCGAGCTACAAACCGGAACTGTACATAAAATGTCTAAAATATTATTTTTTATTGAGTTAATGACTAAAATATTCATTTTTTTTTAATTAATTTTACTTAACGAAAACTTGCAAATGGTTTAGAATAAAAAAATAAAAAAATATAGGGTTTAAATTGATAAAATTAAAAACTCAAGGTTTATTTTGTTACAAGGGTCAAACTCTAACATATATATATATATTTGTAATTTCCCCCATATATATAATTTATTATATTTAAAAAGATAAATTATAGTTATTTCTCTCAAAATTTATGATCGCTCTTAATAAAAATTTTCACTAATTTGTAATTTATTTTGGGCACTCAGGCCATAACTAATCTCTTTGGGCCAAAAGGATAACTATTTATTGAAATCAATCTATTTGTCTATCTATTGAAATTTACCGAACTATATATTGAAATGTGGCGCATATCACTCATTCAACAACTTATTTGTCAAATATCACAGATTTCTCTACCATACGACCTCCACCTGTCGCCGCCGGCGACTTTTTCGGCCAATTTAGTGGTGACTTTTCTAGCACCAATGACTTTTTCCAACTTTTCTGATGACCTTTTCGGCGTGTCCTTATTACCTAACAATATTTTACTTTAGATCTAATGTCTTATACTCCCAAAGGATGAATTTTTCACCAATTTTTTTCATTTATATTTTAATTTGTTACTCTTCGTTTTTATTTTTTTTATTTTATTTTTTTTCTTGGAGAATATTTTTGTTAAAAAGAATAGGAGTAGGATAAGAAGTTGGGGATTAAAAATAAGGGTATGAGTGGAATTTGGAAAAGTGCGATGAGATAAAATTAAAAAAAAAATTAAATTTTAAAAGGAATGATAATTAAAAAGGAAAAATTTTAAAATAATGGGACAGATAAAAAAAATTACAAGAATATGTAAGGTGCAAGTGAAAAGTTGTGGAGTGCAAGTCTGTAAAAAAAAAAATTCCCTCTCAAGTGAATGTAATTCCCCCTTAAAAAAATGAGCATTTTTTAAATTTTATTTTGAGTGATTCTATTTACACCACTAGTTTATCTCTTTATACCCTGTACATGAGATTTTTTTCCCCCAATTTTATTCATGTGTGAAATTAGTTTTAAGGACAAAAGACTAAAATTGAATATATTTTATTATCCCCTTACACCCATTACTCTTCAATTCTTACTACTCTTCTTCTCTTCTCAGTTTTTCTTCTCGGCTCAGTTTTTCTTCTCTGCGACATATCTCTTTTCAAAAAGTGAAAATCAGTGTTTTAATCATAGAAGGAAGCAATGGATGAAAAAATGGTAGTAAAGAACCATCGAAAAAGTGAAATGGTGAATTTTTTTTATTTGTTTAGTATGTTTGCGTTTCGTTTTTTTGAGAAAGTTCTTCGACTTTTGTTTGGTGTGTCAAAATTGAATAAAATAAAATAGTTCGGAATTACATTGCTGAACAAAAAATATATGTTCGATAATCCACGGCCAAAATAAAAGATACATTTCAAATAACCCAAGGCTGAACTTTTTTTAATTTGTTTGGTTACTCATTACCGTGCATTTCCAGTTTCAGTTTTTTTATTTATTTATTTTATATTTTATTTTTTATATTTTTTTGCTAGAAAGGATTATACTTTTATTCATTACAGCAATGCAAGTACAATCATCCGACTACTGAACATCTTAAAGGGCACTCATTTGCTGATAGATTATCTGAAGAGGAAACATCTTTGTTAGTTAACATGTCAAAGAGTATGGTGCAACCAAAAGAGATATTGATTACATTCAAATGAAGGAATGCCTTTAATGCGACCAAAGATGGACTTAAGAAGGGACCAAGGGGGTTTCAGAATTTTTTTTTTTTTTTTTTTTTAACACAAAACAAATGTGGCTCTATCTTTTAAAAAAAAATGCAAAAAGAAAAGTGTTTACTAAACACGCGAAGTGGGCCCTGCCCTCCACTCAATCTCTAACTCTAAGATGTATATACATACATCATGTCCCCTATTTCTTTATTCATATCACATCACTTATGCTATTGCTATAGTTTTCCTTTCGACTCTTCGACTCACTGCTACTTCGACTCACGGCGAATCGGGACCACACCACACAGGGGACCACACTACAACTCTCAACCTTTTCTCTCCATTATTTACAAGCAATCTCTCTCTCTAATCTTTTATTCTTAAATGAAAAATAAATGTATTGATTTATATGGTTATTTGTGGTTAAAATGATATGTTTTGATTTGTTAAATTTAGAAAAAGATTTATTTGTGATTATTTATGTTGAAATTAGAGATTTTGATATGCTAAAATTAAGAGTATTGATTTGTGGTGGTTTATATTAAAATTAGGGTTTTTTATTTGTTGTGATTTGTTAAGGATTTAAAATTAACAATAAAATTAGGAATCTTGATTTGTGGTGAGTTATATGAAATTTGGAGTTTTGATTTGTTGTGATTTGTACTAAAATTAGGGATTTTGATTTATTGTTATTTGTGTTAAATTTAGGGATTTTGATTTGTGTTAAAATTGGAGATTAGGGTTTTTGATTAGGGGTTTTTATTTTTATTTTAAAATAGACATGGAGAAATATTTCAAAAGAAAATCAAAGTTGGAGTCTTCTATTCCTAAAAAAGAAGATGATAATTCTTCCTCCGCAAAATGAAGTCGTATAGAAATCAACTTGACAGACCTTCCTGCAGATCCAGGATTACGACCTCGGATTATGGACTATAACCCTAATGATCAAGACCAAATCCGTAGAGCATATCTACAAAAAGGCCCTTGTCAACCTCGTGATCATAATTTCCCACAAAAAAATATTTGGACAAAAACTTTGACGATTTAATCAAGCTTGGTTTAGTGAATTTCCTAATTGGTTAGAGTATAGTGTAGCGAAAGATACGGCATTTTGCCTATGTTTTTATCTTTTCAAGCCTGATATTGGAGAACAAGCGGGTGGTGAAACTTTTGTTGGTGAGGGTTTCTCAAATTGGAAGAAAAAACAAAAAAATTCAAACTCGTGTGGGAGGCCCCAATAGTGCTCATAATCAAGCTTAGGGTAAATGTCCAGACTTGTTAAACCAAAAGCAACATATTCAAACGCTTTTTTCCAAACAATCTGACCAAGTTCGAATTAAGTATCGAACTCGCTTGAATGCATCGGTTGATTGTGTTAGGTTTCTTCTAAGACAAGGACATGCATTTCGTGGTTATGATGAATTTGAAAAGTCAAGTAGCCAAGGAAATTTTCTTAAACTTTTGAAGTTTCTTGCTGATCACAATGAAGATGTCAAAGTAGTTGCATTAAACAATGCACCACAAAATCTTAAGTTGACAGCTCCTGATATTGAAAAAGATGTTGTTAGTGTGGCTGCGTTTGAAATTATCAATGTGATTTGTAGAGAGCTTGGTGATGCACTTTTTTCTATTTTGATTGATGAAGCCCGTGACATATCAATCAAGCAAATGGCAATTATAATACGATATGTAGACAAAATAGGCCAACTGATTGAGCATTTTATTGGTATCGAGCATGTTGCCAATACTATTGCTCTTTCACTCAAGCAAGCTATGGAAAATTTATTTTCTAGACTTGGATTGAGTATCTTTAGATTGTGGGGTCAAGCATATGATGGGGCTAGTAATATCCAAAGTGAGTTAAATGGTCTTAAAACACTTATATTGAGGGAGAATCCTTGTGCATATTATGTTCATTGTTTTGCTCATCAATTGCAATTGACTCTTATAGTCGTGGCAAATAATCATGATCAAATTGCCTTACTCTTCACTTTGGTTACTAATGTGGTGAATGTTGTTGGAGCATCATGTAAACATCGAGATAATCTTAGGGATAAACAAGCAGCAAAAGTTTTTGAGGCACTTAATATGAGAGAGCTATCAAATGGGCAAGGCTTTAAATCAGGAAACCAATCTCAAACGTGTCGGTGATACACGTTGGGGTTCACACTATGGTACTTTAGTCAGCTTGGCTGGTATGTTTTCAATAGTGATCGATGTGCTTGAAATGATTTCAGAGGATGGTTCAAATTCAAAACAACGAGTAAAAGCAAATGTGTTGTTGGACTCAATTCAGTCTTTTCAATTTGTATTCAATCTTCATTTGATGAGAACGATATTAGCTATTACAAGTGAGTTATCACAAGCATTACAAAGGGGAGATCAAGACATTGTTAATGCTATGAATTTAGTTCAAGTTTCTAAAAGGCGACTCCAAATGATGAGGGATAGTGGGTGGACCTCTTTACTTGATGATGTTTCATCTTTTTGTGAAAAGCATGAAATTGATATTCCCCAAATGGATGATATGTTTGTAGCTCAAGGGAGAAGAAGACATAAAGCTCAAGAAATTACAAATTTTTATCGCTATCGCGCCGAGTTATTCTACACTATTTTGGATATGCAAATTCAAGAACTAAATGCTCGTTTCACTGAGTCAAACATTGCGTTGCTACTTTATGTGGCTTGTTTGAATCCATCCAACTCATTCTCTAGTTTTGTGTCACGACCCAAACTCACCCCTATAGATTTAGCGTCGTAACTGGCCAATAATCCGTGATAACCAAAGGTTTGCTCATCAATAAGACAATAAACTAATAAAAGGGGCTGGCAGAAGCCAATCAATATCATCCAATGAGCTGTGAAGACTTAAATGAACAAAACAAATTTCACATACTTGTAATTGCACAAATACTTAAGTCCATAACACACCTGTACAAGCTAGGGAATTAAATCCCATTGCCAAAAATAGTTAAGAAAACTCAATAAACATTCTTGTTTCTTAAACACAATGCCAAAAAGGGTGAATTTGAATCACCCAATAAGCCCTGACATGCAAAAGTTCGGAACCTCGCAATGAGGCACAGTAGTTGGCTTGACAAAAACAAGTTTCGGGTCGACGCTGCTAACTCTGATCCGGTGCTCGATCACCTACATACATATAATAAACAATGAGTTAGAGCCCAGTGAATAACAACTGTGTAAAGTGCTTATGAATGATGTCCTTACAATAATTGAAACAGTCAATTCATCAATAGATCAATTTCTCAATCAATGTTTCATATCATATCATATCAATCATTTCGATTCATACGTGGTACATCCAATAGCAGAACAATGATAGGTCTTAAAGACTGAACAATCATTTGATGGCCATCAATACAATAACAATAGTTCCAAGAATTGGAACTGATAGAGATATCTATAACAATAACAATAACAATAGCAATAGCAATATGCAATGGATGCCACAAGTCACTACAAGAAATCTAGGCTATTGTGACAAAATTTGGTGACGAAATTTTTTTTTGTCTTAAAATTTAACCCAAAGATGACGAAATATTAATTTTGTCGTTTGTTTTAATTTTTCTCAAAAGTATAGAAGATGAAAACAAAATTTCATCTGCAAAAATGAGGCGCCAATTTCATTTGCATTCGCGCGAATTATTTTAGCTCATTGGAGACGAACATTTTTGTCACCAAATATAATTTTTTTTTGTAACGAACGTAATTCATCGCCAATAAATTCCATACCTATTAAACGATGTCGTTGCATATTTCCATTTATTAGGCGACAAATATATTTTTGTCTGGGAAGGATAAGTTATGGAAGATGAAAATATTGCGTCACCTATAAACACTCCATCATGTAGACAATGTCATTTCATCTTTCTATTAAATAGGCGAAAAATATATTTTTGTCTCGGAAGAATAAGTTGTGGGAGACGAAAATATTTCGTCAGTAATAAATTCTAATTGATTGCATGACGAATATATTTTTTGTCTCATATGGTTAAGTTGTGGAAGACAAAAATATTTCATCACCAATAATAAATTCTTTGTTCTGGTATTTAAGGATACAAAAATATTTTATCACTAATCATTTTTCTTTATTAAAATGCCGTGGTTTTGTGTTTCGAAGCATTGAAACTATGACCCCAAGAGATACACTCTGACACTTATCACTCATTTTCATGTACACGGACCTTGAAGTCGTGACAAGTGTGCTAGATAAGGAATTGGTTTTGTCTTGATGTGTTCAATCGAATGTTAATTGAACACAAGGAGAATTGGGACATTTCATACTCAAAGTGATGAAATGTGTCAAGTTTCCTAGGTCACCATTGCCCTTGATCATGCATGATAGGGACGAACATTTTTTGTCACAAAATATAATTTTTTTTTGTGACGAACGTAATTCGTCGCCAATAAATTCCATACCTATTAAACGATGTCGTTGCATATTTCCATTTATTAGGCGACAAATATATTTTTGTCTGGGAAGGATAAGTTATGGAAGACGAAAATATTGCGTCACCTATAAATGCAGACAATGTCATCTCATCTTTCTATTAAATAGGCGAAAAATATATTTTTGTCTCGGAAGAATAAGTTGTGGGAGACGAAAATATTTCGTCAGTAATAAATTCTAATTGATTGCATGACGAATATATATTTTGTCTCATATGGTTAAGTTGTGGAAGACAAAAATATTTCATCACCAATAATAAATTCTTTGTTCTGGTATTTAAGGATACAAAAATATTTTATCACTAATCATTTTTCTTTATTAAAATGCCGTGGTTTTGTGTTTCGAAGCATTGAAACTGTGCCCCAAGAGATACACTCTAACGCTTATCACTCATTTTCATGTACACGGACCTTGAAGTCGTGACCCAAGAAGACACTTTCTACAAACCCTCATTTGTCTCTCGCACTTGAGTCTACTCCTATGTCACAAGTATTGAAGTCGTGACTCAAGAAGACACTCTTTAAACCATTTCTTCTATCTCGCGCTAAAGCCCCTCTCTCCTGTCTCACCCTTCGTGCATGCCAGCATTGACGCTATTATCCAAGAAGGCACCCTATGCAAACCGACTATTCTTTCTCACGGTGAAGGCCCCTCTTGCACGCAAGCACTTTTTCTCATTGTTTGAACCAACTCTACCCTTTTCGTCTAGAACACCCATTTCAGAAAAATCGAAGGTCAAAACTTCTCTCCCCAAAAATAAAAAAAATAAAAAAATAAGATAATTAATGCAGCTATTTTTTTTTTGTGAGAAAAAATGCAGAGAAACAAATAATAAAAAATTTGTAATTTTCAAAATTAATAGAAAACGTTACCTCGTTTAGTATGGAGTTTTCAATAATTAATTTTTAAAATTTGGTGATAAAATTTATTTTCGTTTTAGAACGTATCCCAAACATGACCAAATATTACTTTTGTCGTTTCTTTTAATTCTTCTCAAAACTATAGGAGACGAAAAAATAAATTCGTCAGAAAAAAAAGAGTCACCAATTTTTTTTCTTGTTGGCGCTAATTATTTTAGCTCATTGGAGACGAACATTTTTGTCACAAAATTTAAAGATTTTGCAACAAAAGGAATTTGTCACCAATAAATTCCAAACTTATAAGACGATGTCGTTTCATTTTCTTATTTATTTGGTTACAAATATATTTTTTGTCTGGGAATGATAAGTTATGGGAGACAAAAATATTTCGTCACCAATAAACTCTTCATGCTCGTTTTATCTTTCTATTAATTAGGCGACAAATATATTTTTGTCTTGGAAGGATATGTTTTGGGAGACGAAAATATTTCATCACTAATAAATTCTCCATGTGTCATGTTGCATTTTGATTGATTGCTCGGCGAATATATTTTCGTCTCATAAGGTTAAGTTGAAGGAGACGAAAATATTTCATCACCAATAAATTCTCCATCCCCACACAACGTTGTTTTTGCATTTTTGTTGATTAAGCAACGAATATATGAGTTTGAGACGAAAATATTTTATCACTAATTATTTCTCTTTATTAAAATGTCGTCAGAAACTAAGAGGCACTCTCACCTTAATCACTTACTTTCACACACACACAAATACTAAAATCGTGACCCGAAAAGACACCCTCTACTAACCCTCATTTTTCTCTTGTACTTGAGTCTCCTCTCTCACAAGTATTGAAGCTGTGACTCGAGAAAACAATCTGTATAAACCATCTCTTCTATTTCGCACTGAAGCTCCTCTATTCTCTCTCACATTTAAGTCGTTTGTGCATGCAAACATTATTATCCAAGAGGACATTTTGTGCAAAGCTACTATTCTTTCTCACAGTAAACCCCTCTTCACAAAAAGAAAAAAATAATAATAATAATTAAACAAGGAAACAAAATATAAGAAATCTAGGTTATTATGACAAATTTTGGTGACGAATTTTTTTTTTTTAATTTGGTGACGATTTTTTTTTTTTTTTGTATTAAAATTTAACCCAAACATGACAAAACATTAATTTTGTCATTTTTTTTAATTTTTCTCAAAAGTATAGAAGACGAAAAAAAATTTCGTCTCCAAAATTCAGGCACCAATTTCATTTACATTGGCATGAATTATTTTAGCTCATTAAAGACAAACATTTTTTGTCACAAAATATATATTTTTTGCGACGAACGTAATTCGTCACCAATAAATTCCCTACCTATTAAACGATGTCGTTGGATATTTCTATTTATTAGGCGACAAATATATTTTTGTCTAGGAATGATAAGTTATGGAAGACGAAAATATTTCGTCATCAATAAACACTCCATCATGCAAACGATGCTGTTTCATCTTTCTATTAAATGGGCAACAAATATATTTTTGTCTCGGAAGAATAAGTTGTGGGAGACGAAAATATTTCGTCACTAATAAATTCTGATTGATTGCGCGACGAATATATTTTTTGTCTCATAAGGTTATTTTGTGGAAGACAAAAATATTTCGTCACCAATATTCCGTCACTAATGTGAACTCTACTATTGAATGTTTTAATTAAAGCCTACGGTTAAGAATAAATACCCTATGCCCCGTATAGATGATTTGTTTGACCAGTTGAAGGGTTCCCGTTGTTTCTCTAAGATAGACTTGAGATCGGGTTACCACCAGTTGAGGGTCAGGAAGGAGGATATTCCTAAGACGGCATTCCGTACGCGGTATGGCCATTATGAGTTTCTGGTGATGCCATTCGGGCTTACCAATGCACCGGCAGTCTTTATGGACTTGATGAACCAGATCTTCCCTCCGAGAGAAGATCTCCAGTGGGAAGGTTGAGAAGGGTTTGATGGCGTATCCCGACCAGAGTGTGAGATACCGAGACCGTTTGTTTGTGCCGGAGTCTTGCCGAGAGGAAGTACTCCGAGAGTTCCATCATTCACACCTTGCGGTGCATCCGGGAGGCACTAAGATGTATCGGGATTTGGGTCGCCAGTTTTGGTGGCGGGATATGAAGAGAGATGTGGCTATTTTTGTATCAAGGTGCCTTACTTGTCAACAAGTGAAGGTCAAGCATCAGAGGCCAGCGGGTTTGTTGCAACCCTTGCCTATTGCCGAGTGGAAGTGGGAGCATGTCACTATGGACTTTGTTGTAGGTCTTCCAAGGACTCAGCGGGGTACTGATGCCATTTGGGTGGTTATAGACCGGTTGACTAAGTCGGCGCACTTCATTCCTATGCGCATGAGAGATTCGGTAGATCATCTCGCCGACTTGTATATTCGGGACATAGTGAGATTGCACGGGGTCCCAGTGACGATCGTCTCAGATAGAGATCCTCATTTTACTACTAGGTTGTGGCAGAGTTTGCAGAGTGCCTTGGGCACTAAGTTGACCTTTAGTACGGCTTATCACCCTCAGATTGACGGGCAATCTGAGCGTACTATTCAGATCCTTGAGGATATGCTTCGAGGTTGTGTCCTTGACTTTAGTGGGACGTGGGAGAGGCACTTGCCCTTTGTGGAGTTTGCCTACAATAACAGTTTTCAGGCTAGCATCGGTATGGCACCGTTTGAGGCCTTGTATGGTCGACCGTGTAGGTCTCCAGTGTGTTGGGCCGAGGTGGGTGATGCACCTTTGTTGGGTCCGGAGTTGGTTAGGGAGACGACGGAGAAAGTTGAGCTTATCCGTAGGAGGCTTGTTACAGCCCAGAATCGCCAAAAGAGTTATGCCGACCGTAGAAGAAGGCCTTTGGCGTTTGAGGTAGGTGATCATGTCTTCTTGAAAATATCACCTAGGCGAGGTTTGATGAGGTTCGGGAAGAGTGGGAAGTCATCCCCTCGGTTTATTGGTCCCTTTGAGATCCTTGAGAGGATTAGCGAGGTTGCTTATCGTTTAGCTTTGCCTCCATAGTTGTCCGGAGTGCATTACGTGTTTCATGTGAGTATGCTTCGGAAGTATGAGCCAGATCCGTCCCATGTATTGGATTGGACCGACTTAGAGGTTGATGAGGATGCCTCCTATGAGGAGAGACCAGTTCGGGTCTTGGATAGGCGGGATCAAGTCCTGTGTGACAAGACCATTCCTTTGGTAAAGGTTTTATGGAAACATCATGGAGTGGAGGAAGCCACTTGGGAACGTGAGTTGGAAGTCCGCGAGAAATATCCGGACTTGTTTGTTGATGTGTAACCATGTATTGGTAATTTTGTAATATCGTTGAACTTTAAGAACATTATATGTGTCTTAAGTTGTAAAACATTGTGAATGTTTTGGTTAATGGAAATTTGTTATAACATTGCATATGTTCAATGTATTGTGGAAATGCAGGCATGATGTTAATGTTGCATGTATTATGGAATTGTGGAAAATGAGTTGAAATTGGTAAATTTCAAAGGAATGCATGTTGACAATGCAGGTTGTTATGTGTAATGTGGAATGCCTCTTGAAAGAGATGGGATTGACCGATAATGGGTCGGATTGTTTAATATTATGTTGTAGCATTGTTGAGAATGGAGAAAACCTGTTTTTGAAAAACTTGTGTTTAATTTCGGGGACGAAATTCTTTAAGGGGGGAGGTTATAGCGATCCCGGTTGTCCCTTTACTGTTCTGTTGTATTCCGGACTCGGTTCCGTGATGTTGGTGGTGGTATACCTTGTTGTCATCCTCTAATTCCGTTTGATTGAGTTTTAGGATGTATTGGGCAGAGTTGTTACAGGTTGGTTGGGCTTTGGTTTCAATTCTTTGTTGCCCAGTTTTTAGGAGGTGCGCTCGAGCGGGTCTTCTTGCGCTCGAACGGATATTGCACACCCCCAGTATTTTGATGCTCTGCAAAACTTCTACAAGCATGTTTTTCACGCTCGAGCGGGTTTCTTTACGCTCGAGCGGTGGCGCTCGAGCGGGTACTCTGGCGCTCGAGCGGGTAGTACTTTTTGGTGTAAGTTCTGGGAGGGGGAAATCTACGCTCGAGCGAATGTACTTTATTTTTGTGTCTTGGCACTCGAGCGGGCCTTTATTGCGCTCGAGCAGACCTAGTTTTTTGTTCTTGACGCTCGAGCGTTGTGTTCTCCGCTCGAGCGGGAATGTCGTATATCAGTTGGCAGTTGGGCATTTTAAAATTACTTTTTTACATTCTCTCTCTCTCTCTCTCTTACTTTCTAAAAAGACATTTTGAGAGTTCCTTTCTCTGGAAACTCCCTTCTCTCTAGGGTTTGATCTAGTTAGAGTGTTTCCTTTTCCTTCGGCCTTTGTAAAAGTTGGGTTGATCGTCGATGGCTACATTTTGATCCGAGAATATTGAGTTTTGGAGCACGTTGAGTTTCTTCATCTTCTTTCCTTGAGCTCCGAATTTGAGGTAGAGATTCCTACTCACTCTTATGGTCTTTGACATAGATTTTTGGTTGTTTTGATAAAGTGTTGAAGTTGGGTAATTTTGGGACTTAGGGTTTCAAAATGCTAAAAGAGGGTTTTGTTATTTTCATTCTAAAAATGTGTATTATGAGTTTCAAAATAATGATATTATTGTTGGTTGTTGATATATAGACCATTGGGTCAATATTGGGAAATGGAGTAGAAAACCCTAATTGGTTGTATAAATTAATTGGTATGATTAATTTGGAAAAAATTGTGGTTATATGGAATTGAGTTGGACATAATGAAATTTGCTCATTATATAGTAGAATTGTGGAGTTGGATTTGTTAATTGCTCACTTTTGAAAACATTGATATTTTATCTGTTGGAGCTTTTATTATCTGTTTAGAAATAATTGCTTGGACTACCGGTGGAGGGTAGTTTTGATTATTGTAGACAATGCATGATGATTAGGCAAACTAAAACTAATCAATTGGATATGTCATAGAGTATGACGGTTGATAGAATACATTAACGTTATGTATTGATTGATTGTGTATATGACCTATGTGTATATACGGTGTGTGTATGGGAGGAGATAGGGGATGTACTCCACGGTTTAGGGGAAGATAGGGGATGGACCTCTAAACCGGATGTTGTTTGGGAGGAGATAGGGGATGGACTCCACTGATACAGCTCATATGCTTGTCAGTTAATGTGTTGATACAGCTTATATGCTTATCTATGGAAGTGTTGATACAACTCATATGCTTATCTTTGGAAGTGTTGATATAGCTAATATGCATATTTGTTGAAATGTGGATACAACTTGTATGCTTATCTGTTGAAATGTTGATACAACTAGTATGTTTATCTATTGTAAAATGGGAAATGTCTAATATGAGTCATTGTCTCATATAAGTGGTTGGCCAGGTTTTGAGCCGTTGATGTAAATTGTGAAATTGATAAGAAGTGGAAACTGTAATGAAACATGAATATAGTGGTCATGAAATGGAAATGGGTTATGAATTGATTTATGGAAATTGAACATTTATCAATTGCTAATGTCTTAGTTATTGCTCATACTGTGTTTAGCATATTTCTACTGGGCGTTGGCTCACCCTATATGGGACATTATTTTCAGGTACAGGTAGTATGCCACCTCCAAGGACATAGCTTGGATGATGATGAGAGTTGAAGACACTTTTTGTTTATTTTGTTTGTATTACATGTATATCAAGCCAAGGGCTTATTTTGTATAGAGTTAGTACTCTCCTTTTGTGTAACCAGGTGTTGACTTGGAAAGCTGTAAGCCCATAGGGCATTTGCTTTTGTTGTTAACATGTAATACAGTTGTAAGAATTACTCTGATGAATAGAAATGGTTGGTTTCTTTTATATCAATGCATGTTTAAAGTGATGGGTTTTATGTGTTTTTTTGAGGGCGTTACAAGAGTAGGCAGGGTGGAGCAGATGGCCTTCCTTGGGCTCAACATGCACCCACTTTCGTCCACTCAACTTATGTCGTTCAAACTTGACACAACCTTCCTTCATAGCATAGAGGGTGTGATCCTTCCCCATTCCGACATAGTTTCCTAGATGGAAGCGGGTTCCTCTTTGGCGAACAATGATATTCCCAAGAATCACGCTCTGCACAATGATGAGAATATACTTAATGATGTGACAAAGGTTTATACGAATAGGGAAAATATGATATCAGTATTTGACTTACCTCTCCACCAAACTTCTTCACCCCAAGATTCTTTGGTTTCGAGTCTCGCCCATTCTTTGTGGATCCTGCTATCTTTTTAGTAGCCCAGCACCTGAATGTGAAACTCAATCCTCCTCCGGTAACATCTAAATTAAATGTAATAGAAAGGTCAATAAAGCAACAAACCAACAATTTACAGAAATACCAAATTCTACGAAGTAATAGGAAAACTTTACCACTAGCAGTGCTGTAGATAGGAACATTTGTAACTAGCTCATTGAGATTCAATCTTATATATAGTAACTTCTGAGACCAACGGATTTTCATAAAAATATTTGAACCCCCTTCAACCTGGGGAACTTTTAGTGTGTATATTAGCTGTTTCAAAAATTCAATTTCTTCCTTAAGAGCTGGGGCCTATTGTAAATCTGCAGTAACCTTGGCTAAATTCTGAGTCACTGCTTGGACCTGAGCTGTAAGCTCTTGTCTTGTGGCAGTTAACTCCTTAACGTCAGCATGAACTTGTTGTAGCTCAACCCCCATAGTTTCTGCTCCACCACGATCCATTTCCATTTTAACAGACTTCTCGTACAATTCCCTCATCTGCATATCCTCCTGATCCTGAGTGCATGTGTAGTGCGCCTCGAATGGGCCAAACCGTTGGGGGGAAAGGTGCAGGTGCGAGAATATTGGAGGGTGTAATCAGTTTTCCTATCTACTGAGGTTTCTAATAGCCAAGGTTTGATATAATTATGTCAAACTTGTAGGATTTATTCTATATATTTTTTAAACTAAAGAAAAATCAATAGAATTTACTAAAATATATATATATATATATATATAATATGCATCAAAATTGTAAATTTTTTTTAACATTATTTGAATATTATACAACATTTTTTAATAGTATTTAGCCTAACAAGTAATGATATACACAAAAAAAATTATATAAAATTTTTATATAGAATGATGTAATTTAATGTGCACCTTTGATTTTAAAGCAAAATATCCATAAAAAATAGTTTTTTAAACAATAATATCGTCACATTATTCTTATAAAAAAATTTGTATGAATTCTATGTATGAACAGAGTTTTTTTTAAAACATTATTCAACAATCTTCCGACATGGTTAGGTAATTTGTTTAGGGAAATTATAATTGATGGATAAGTAAAGACTCATAATTTTATATGGAGATATAAAAAATAACAAATAAATAAACAAATAAATATATATTATTTGATAATTAATGAGTGACATGACCACGTAATATCAAGGATGCTGAGTCTTATGGAAAGTAGGTAGCGTGGTTGATTCTCAAATAATTCTTTCACAAACAAAGCAACCCATTTATTGGAACTTTGATTTTTCATATCTACACCTACTTCGTTGGCTAGTCTTTAGATGATGGACCCTTAAAATTATGAAAAAAGACATATAAAATTATTTTTTATTTTTTATTTTTAAATTTAATAATATGTAAATAAAATAATTGATTAATGATAAAAAAATATGAAAAAGATAAAATTGCCGTACATATTCCTAATAGTCTGTCACATCATTAAACTTAAAAAATAAATTTAATTTTTAAATTAGAGTATCACTACTCTAAAATTACATGCTACAATGAGAGCAACACTTCATGTGTCCACTTGAAGATGTTGATTGAAAAGTTGAGAGTGAGTAAATTATCACATATGGACCTGCATTGCTGAGACTGTAATAGGAAAACTTTTTTTTTTTTTTTATCAGCAAAGAAGAGATATATTATTGATGAAACAGAGACCTATTACATCAAAACAAGAAAAGAAGGATGAGAACAAAACGAAACAAAGCGGATGTAAACGAGTTGGTGAGGATCCAACCACATCATCTCAACAACCTCATCCAAAAAAGAACTACCCAAACCTGATACAACCCACACCCCAAAACAGCCAAAACAGCATAGAAATATAGAGATACACCACCCAAAACACATTTACATATCAAAGCTTGAATGAGAAACACACCACCACGGAGTAAATAGATTGACAAACCAAACCTGCCCCAACACCTCCCTCCTTTTATCAGTAGCCCTTAGCCCAGCAGCAAAACAACCACCATCTACACTGTGTAGTCTGCTGAGCAAGAAATCCAATCTACACCTTCCCAAACAACAAAGCTTGAAAGATAAACACACCACCACAGAGTAAACAAATAGCAGTGCTGTAGATAGGAACATTTGTAACTAGAAATAGAAGGGTGCAATCAGTTTTCCTATCTACTGAGGTTTCTAATAGCCAAGGTTTTGTAGAAACAGGGGGCTGATTAGTGGTTTTGCAAGGGTTCAGTGTACTGTGGGTGTTGTGTGTTGCTCTTTTCTTTCTTCTTTATCTTTTTTTTAAAACTTTAAAACAATGCTGACCCTTATCTCCCCATGTGCGTGTCTTGTAGAGACCCTAATTTTTGGTAATTACACTTGAAACCCTAAGCCTCAGGTTAATTGCATTTCAGTCTCAAATTTCATAAAATTGTACAAAATGGTCCAATAAAGAATAATTTTTCTGTATTTTATTTTGTATTATAATTAAATCCTAGAACACCACTTTATAATTCGAAAAACCCTAACACTTGGCTTTTATTTATTTTACCTCCTAGTTTCTAAATTAATTCATACATTTTATTTATTGGTTTATTTATTTTAGCCTAGTTGCATATTTACTAATTCTTTGAATCTTTATTATTTATTTGAGAAAATAAATAGCCATAAACATCTTTAAATAAATATTTTTATTATTTATTTTATTCTTTCTTTAAGCAAATTAGTGGGAAAAAAAAATCTAGATATTTATAAGTTGCTTAGGCATTAAGTTAGAAGGGTAGAATGGTCCTTTCAAGCCAATTCATGGCCTATAAAATTGAGAAGCATTGTCTCAACTCCTCTATCATGTTTTTAGCAGCTCAAGGAGAAGGTGAGAGAGGGAGAGGGTGATCAAGGGAAGTAGAGAAAAAGAAAAAAAAAAAAAAAGAAGAAGAAGAAAACGAAGGAAAAGTGATTCAAGAAGGTAAGAACACCTCTTCCTCTTGTCTTCTCCAATTCTTTCACCATCTCATACTATTGTTTAGATGCCCTCTTGTGTTTCATATTAATGGCAAATAGAGCATTTGGTGTATTTAAAAGTGTGGGTTTGAGTTAGTGACATTGTCTTGCAAATCTGTCAAATTAGGCACTACTGTAACTTCTCAAATTTCAAAGAAATATCAAATTTATTTATTTCTCAAATCTTAATTTAGTGTAGGCTATTTGGTGTGTTTAGAGCTTGTGATAATTTTATTAGCCCCTAATTGTATCTTTTTAGGGCTTGGACATTTTGTTTAAAAATCTGGTCCTGAATCTCTGAAAAACAGTCCACTTCCTGCAATTTTATAAAATTTCAGAAAAATCATCTCAGATTGTTTATTTTATACAAATTTATGATTTTGAGTCCTCTTTTCAATGGAATTTATTTGGGTGAAAATCATTGGGTAGATTGAGAGGAAAGCTAGTTTTTCCAAAGGGTGACAAATCTGGACAGGTTTTCGAATATGGCTCGTAGATGAGTTTCTGGAGGTGATGTGCAAATTCTGAGAATTGGAGTTGAAACTAGACATGTTAATTATTATTTCTATGCAATTTCAGCCCCTAATTTTACCTAGAAGTATTTTTCGTAAAGTACTCTTGTTAGCCCTGCAGAATCAAACAGTGCTGGAAATGGTGTTTTATTGTGTCATTTGTCTGTAAGTGTTTCAAAGAATTCCTAATGCTATTTTCTTGCCTTACCATACATATGTATGACTATCATGAGCTAGATTCCCTTTCTTATGTTTGTCTCATGCTCTTTTATATTATCGAATTACCAAATGTGACTAACTTGCTTGGCAAAAGATCTAATAAATGAGAAATGGAAAGGGGTTGGTAATGGGTGACGTTCACCCTTGTGCTTCAGAATGATTTATGTAATATACATGTGAATGAGATTAAAACCAAATGAGTTAAGTCTTGCACAAGCGGTCTAAGTGAGCCCCTAGGTTGACACGGATCTATTCAGACTCTATGCGGTGGTTTCAGGGTGTAAGCGAGCCCTTTGGTATGGCATGTGTAGGATGTAAGTGAGCCCTTTGGTATGGCATGTGCATGGTGTAAGCGAGCCCTTTGGTATGGTATGTGCAGGGTGTAAGCGAGCCCTAGGCACGATTTGGGTGCAAGCGAGCCCACTTGTTTTCCTGTCCCTTTTGAGGTCCATCAATGTCATTGATTGGTAAACAACCGGAAGGTGGGCATAGGTGGTAAGGTCTGCAAAGCAGCAAAAGAGGGAGTTCTGAATAGTCCGGTGTTCAATCCTTGTGGTTAGGTAGAAGGATCTCTTTGGGGGATTGTAGATGTCTAGTCTAACTACTAATTTATAGAACTATTGTATGTTAAGTTACCCAATTTGTTCTATGTATGGGTGATTGGTTGATAGAAGATATGGGTGTGTGTGTGTGTGTGTTTTTACTGGGCATTCTAAGCTCATGGCGTGTCATGCCAAGTGATGAAGCAGTCTACAATGGTGAAGGTTATTTCGAAGGCAAATAAGATGAAGTGTTGGAGCTATGGTTCATTTGAAGACATAGACTAATTTTTTTTTTCCCTCTTGACTTTTGGTTTGGCAATGTTTTGGTAATCCTGTAGTGGAACATAAACGAATTATCTGTGATTTTAACTCTGGTTATATATGTATATTAAGATGTTTTGGTTATCTATCCTACTTGTGTTGTATTATTGTACGTATTTAATGGCCCGGAAGTTGGGGCGTTACAGAATGGTATCAGGGCTTAGGTTCAACCCTTACCCACGCGTTTCGACTTCAAACGATTTGACGATCGCCTACGAAGGGAAGTAGTTTTAACTTTGAATAGGGCAACATGTTGAACATTAGATACAATATAGAAGTAGGGGTCTACGAGTCTTCTATTGATCGTCATACCCTCATTTCATATTTGTAACCTTGTTTGATGTCGTTCACTTCAAGATTAAGTCATTACCATCTGGTCTTACTTTATATTTTTTAATTATACCATTTGCAACCTTGAGCCTTGATTATGCCATCTTGTACGAGAATTTTTTTGAAAATTTCAATTTCTTTATTCGGTGACGAATCTTGGATATTCAATTTGAAATGTGAATGGCCGACACAGTTTCAAGTTAAATATCTAACTTAGTCACTATCTCTATGACCTTGACCACATAAAAGTCGTAAATCGTAATCCATTCGTATTTCAGATAATCCTTATATTAATTGATGCAATTACTATAATATTCTTTCATCTCCACTTTGTATTCCTTTTATTAATCCAGTTTTCACACTCTTGTAGTTGTTATTTTGCCTATATATAT